CAGACCCCCAACCCCCCCCCCCACCCTTCGCTAAAAGTGTTTAACCTCGTTAGGCTGCTCAGTGTAATTATTATCGTCGTCATTGTCGTCGTTCTTCTCTGTTCATTAAAGATTCCTTTTTGGAAAGACTCAAATCTCGTGGGTGCTGTCGCTGAAGTTTCTCGCTCGCTCCCCGCGTGTTGTCGAAAAGGGGGGGGCGAGGGTGGGTGAGGGGGGGGTGAGGGAGAGGGGGGGGGGTGTATGTTGTCCTATCATCTATGAGATGATAGGACAACAGTCTAAGTCCATATACTTGGCAATAAGTAACGGCGAAGCAGAAGTGACTCAGAATTGTGCGCAGTCGCGTATACAGGACACGACTTCCCTGAAGGCAAACACCTTCAGCGAGTGCGATGCCGATCACACAACGCGGTTCGAAATCGACCCTCGATCAATGGCTGCAGAAGCGCCCGGGTACAAGTCCTTACTAGCAAGTCCTTACTAACAAGTCCTTACAAACAACTCCTTACTAACAAATCCTTGCTAACAAGTCCTTGCTAACAAGTCCTTGCTAACAGGTCCTTACGAGTCTTTACTAACAAGCCCTTACGTCCTTATTAACAAGTCCCTACTTACTAACAAGTCCTTACTAACAAGTCCTTACTAACAAGTCCTTACAAACAACTCCTTACTAACAAGTCCTTGCTAACAAGTCCTTGCTAACAGGTCCTTACGAGTCTTTACTAACAAGTCCTTACGTCCTTATTAACAAGTCCCTACTTACTAACAAGTCCTTACTAACAAGTCCTTACTGACAAGTCCTTACTAACAAGTCCTTGCTAACAGGTCCTTACGAGTCTTTACTAACAAGTCCTTACGTCCTTATTAACAAGTCCCTACTTACTAACAAGTCCTTACTAACAAGTCCTTACTAACAAGTCCTTACTAACAACTCCTTGCTAACAGGTCCTTGCTAACAGATCCTTACTAACAAGTCTTTACTAACAAGTCTTTACTAACGTCCTTATTAACAAGTCCCTACTTACTAACACGTCCTTACTAACAAGTCCTTACTAACAAGTCCTTACTAACAACTACTCAACTCTTCTTGAATTTTTCATTGCAGGAGGGGTTGCCCCCCCCCCCCTACCTGAAAATCCTGGCTCCGCCTCTGATGATGATATTAACAAATTGGTTGAGCATCTATCATGACTTATATTCTTGGTTCTTTCGGTAAAGTCACGTAGAAGGGAAACAATAAAATAATAAAAAAAATAAAACAATAAAATTATCACGACGTTTCGACTGCAACACAAGCAATCATCATCAGGTGTGAAGACCACAGCAAGAAAATTTGAAATTTTAGAAATTTTCTTGCTGTGGGTTTCACAGAGGATACAAAAATTTTACATTTTCTTGCTGTGGTTTTCACAGCTGATGATTGCTTGTGTTGCAGTCGAAACGTGAGAATTTTATTGTTTTATATTTTTATTTTATTGTTTCCCTTCTAGGTGGTAACTTTACCGAAAGAACCAAGAATATGAATCCCTGCAGTCACGAAAGCTTTAAATCAAAATCTATCATGACTTGTGATTAGCCAGGTGGTTGCTTCAGAATTAAGTAATATTTAAAAAATTAAACACGCTTTAATGAAATGTACCGTACTAGTAATGGAAGAACTCCACGACTCCAGGAAGTGGCCCCGAAGCTTGCCACAAGGTAAGGGACCCGTGGTGATTTACAGACAACGTGAGTTGAGCGTGGACAATTAGAGATATAATATAGTATTGTCATCAGTGTCACATAAGTATACCAAGTTTGCAGTCGATACCACATTGGGAAGTGAGTTAAAATTGAGTTACAAGATTTGAGGATACAAAAACAACAGAGTGAGTTAATAAAAAGCGTGTAAATGAGCTGAACAGTAGCTCAGTAGGGCCTTACACCTCGGAAAATTAAAATGGTTTAATTTCAGTATGAGTTTCTTGAGTATGGGTCTCTGTGAGCCTCTATGTCAGTGGTTCTTAACCTTGTTGGAGGTACCGAACCCCACCAGTTTCATATGCGCATTCACCGAACCCCTCTTTAGTGAAAAATAAAATGTGATTTTTTTCAAATTCAAGACATAGATATGTTTTTTACTGGTACACAAAATGAGCCGTGCATGAACATTACCTTGTTCAAAGAATAAAACCAACACAATGCATAAACTCACAACAAATTACATACCTGGAAATCAATGTGACTTCTGCTGTTGCCTTTGAGAGATCAGTTCAGATATGCGTGGCTTCACCTTGGCAAGTGCCACTCTCATGTCATTTTCACAGCAAAGTCTGTTCCTTTTCTTCGTTTTTATGTCCAGCATCCTCGAAAAGGATTGCTCACAAAGATATGTTGTAACAAATGGTATAAAAAATCCAGGGCTTTCTTAGCAATAACTGGATACTTGTTCATTTGTCGACACCAAAACGTTGAGAGCGTTGTTGTTTTGAAGAGTTGCTGTTGAACCTGGCTCTGCTGAATTTCAATGATTTCGTCGAGGAATTCATCATTGACATCTGCTGTTTCAACAGCAAACGTGAACGGCTGTCTCACCCATGCTGGATATGACTCTCTTGTAGGGAAATATCCGTCGAGAGACTTTGCAAGCTCATCTAAGTGCGTGGCAATTGTTTGCTTCAGTTCCGTGGATACAGAAATATCTCCGATTCCAGACACATCTTCGATCTTACTTGCACAGTCGTCCAGAAGCGGGAAGTTTGCGAAGTTATTGTTCTCTGTTCGTCGTTTCCATAACGGTAGCTTTTTTTGAAAAGCCTTCAGGTGTTCTTCCGCTTCCATGATATTGACTCCACCACCCTGCATCTGCTGATTGAGATGATTGAGAGCTGCGAATATATCAGCCATGTACGCTAAAATGAGAATGAACTCAGGATTTTTGAAGCAATCTGCATGGCAGTGTTGGTGCTCTTGCAAAAACAGGGCTAATTCCACACGCATGGCAAAAACACGATTCAGCACCTGTCCCCGGGATAACCACCGAATATTAGAATGGAGCAGAAGTACGTCAAATTCAGAGCCCATTTCTTTACACAGCTCACTGAAGATGCGGTGCCTCAGAGCACTTTTTCGCACATAGTTCACACATTCCACCACAGTTTTTAATACTTCTGTCATTTTTGGAGGTACGGTTTTTGTTGCCAACGCATGCCTGTGCAGAATACAATGCGTCACAATGATGTGTGGTGCATCGGCCTTTACTAGCGCACCAAAACCAGACTTTCTTCCCAGCATGACTGGAGCTCCGTCCGTACAAACTGCAGAAACCATATCCCATGAAAGATTGTTGTCTCTGAAGAAGTCATCCACAAGCTTCTTCACATCGGCTGCCTTCGTTGTTGTTGTAAGAGGCTTACAAAATAAAAAACTCTTCTTTTATCATGTCGTCTTTCACATAGCGTACAAAAACAGCAAGCTGGCTTAGATCAGAAACGTCTGTGGTTTCGTCGAGTTGAAGGCTGAATTTTGCCGGGCTTGAAATCAGATCCGCGACTACTTGAGCCAAGATGTCTTTACTCATGTCTTCTATTCTGTCACTGACGGTGTCATTTGAAAGGGGAATTTGGGATAATTTACCTTCGGCCGCTGTTCCGAGTATCAGATTCGCCATCTTTAATGCAGCTGGTTTCACAAGTGTTTCACCAATGGTGTGTGGCTTGCCCTGCTTTGCGATCAGGTAAGCAACTTCGTACGATGCTGTCAGGATCGGTTTGTTAACAGGTACAAATCCAAGAGCAGGCAGAGTGGCCCTTTCATCGAATCTGGCTCTCTTCACCCTGAATTCAGCAAGTGTTGTGTTCTTGTATTCCCCGTCTCCATGCAGCTTCAAGAAGTGTTCCTTTAGTTTTGCCGGTGCAAGACTAGAGTTGCTCAACTTGGCGTTGCAAATCATGCAGATAGGACGCTCACTCCCATCACGTTCCGTGATACATGAGAATCCATGTTGTACATATTCGTCCGACCACTTTCTTCTTTTGCCCGACATAGTTAGTATGGATAAAATATTAAAGAAATCACACGACGTACGACAACAACAGTCACACGTTGACTACTGAGTACGCAGTAAATTTCCCGCAGCGCTGATTGGCCAAGCAGTGTAGCATGATCATCTGCAGCCAGTGATGGCCAAGCGGGCCGTGTGTGTCATCACAAATTTACACAATAATTCAAGTGTGTCCGGACCTCCGTGGCGGGGGCTCTGCCGAACCCCTGAGATCGACTCACCGAACCCCTGGGGTTCGATCGAACCCAGGTTAAGAACCACTGCTCTATGTAAATGGTTCTCTGTGCATCTACTGTATATGGGTGTCTGTGGGTCGTGTGGGTCTCTATGTATCTCCATGGGTCTCTGTAGGTCTATGAGTCTCTATGGGTATCTGCATTTATGGGTCTCTATGTATCTCTATGCATCTATGTGTCTCTATGATATATGCATCTTTATGGCTATGTATCTCCATGGATCTCTGTGGGTATCTACATATCTTTTTGTCTATGTATCTCTATGCGCGTTAGATTAGATTATTTGGCTGCTGTTATGTCCACGTGATGATGATGCCAGGCACAAATATCTACGCAGCAGCCTCAGTGGGGCCTTACACCTGCTAACATACCACTAATCGTGTAGTCGTATTTGTTTACGTCATTTGTTTATCTCTAATATCCTGTTGAACTCCTATCGTGGTGTTGTTGTCGTAACGTTCTGAGCGCCGCGCACTCCACTGGACCATCCGTGATTTTATTTTTGTAAAAAGAGCTTCACAGCTCATCGGATTTCTCCTCCAGCCATCGACACGATAAACATTCCGATGATTCTGAAGGGGAAATGAAAAGTTGTCGGGGCCATGACCCAGCCCGCCAGATGGCGCTGCGTCACCCCGAATCGCAGTGGTCAATGGGTGCGTATTGGGGAGGTCACGTTGCTCAAGGGGAACTACATGAGCCACGTCTACGCAGGGACATTCCTTTCGCTTGTGCGGTGGTCGACCCATCCACCGCCATCCACCGATGATGAAGTCGAGGTTGATGGCCTCGTGACTCTAAAGGAATTGACGACGATGACCCAAGTGCTCCATTGGATCGTCGCACTTCTACTCTTGGCGTTCGGGGTGAGTCCTCTTGTGAGTGAGTCTCATGTGTGTGAGTCTATGGGTCTCTGTGTGTCTCTATGTGTGAGTGTCCAGGTGTTTGTGTGTCGGTGTGAGTCTGTGGGTCTGTGAGTCTCTGTGTCAGTCTGTGGGTTCTGTGTGTCTCTGTGTGAGTCTGTGAGTCTTTGGTGTGTCTGTGGGTCTCTGTGATGAGTCTATGGATCATCATCGTTTGCAGCTGGGTTTGGGTGTGTCTCTGTGTGTGAGTGAGTCTCTGTGTGTGTAAGTCTCTGTGTATGAGTCTGTGTGAATCTCTGTGTGGGAGAGTACGTCTCTCTGTGTGTGAGTGAGTCTGTGCGTGAGTCTCTGTCAAAGTGAGTCTCTGTGTGAGTATCTGTGTGTGTAAGTCCCTGTGTGTGAGCGTGAGTCTCTGTGAGTGTGAGTCTCTCTGTGTGTGAGGGTGAGTATCTGTGTGAGTCTCTGTTAGAGTACGTCTCTGTGTTAGTGAGTCTCGGTGTGTGTGTATGTGAGTGAGTCTGTGTATGCGAGTCTCTCTGTGTGTCAGAGTAAGTATCTTTGTGTGTAAGTTTCTGTGTGTCTGAGTCTCTTTGTGTGTGTGTCTCTGTGTGAGTCTCTGTGTCACTCTGTGTGTGTGACAGTGAATCTCTTTGTGTGTGAGCGAGTCTGTCTGTGTGTGCATCTCTGTGTGAGTCTCTGTGTGTGAGAGTAAGTCTGTGTATGTGAATCTCGGTGTGTGTGTATGCGTCTCTGTGAGACTAAGTCTGTGTATGTGAATCTCGGTGTGTGTGTGAGTGAGTCTGTGTGTAAGTCTCTATCTGTGTGAGTCTCTTTGTACGTGAGAGTCACTGTGTGTGTATGAGTCTCTGTGAGCGAGTCTCTTTGTGTGTGTGAGTCTCTTTGTGTGAGAGTGATTCTCTGTGTGAGTCTTGAGGTCTCTGTGTGTGAGTCTATGGGTCTCTGTGTCTCTGTGTAAGTCTGTGGGTATCTGTGGTCAGTGTAAGTTTATATGTCAGTATGTGGGTTCTGTGTGTCTTTGTGTGTGTCTGTGTGAGTCAGTGGGTCTTTGTGCGATTCTGAGGGTATCTGTGTGAGTTTGTGGTTATCTGTGTGAGTCTGTGGGTCTTTTGTGTCTCGGTGGGTCTCTGTATGAGTTCCTGTGTGACGAGTCTATGGGTCATCATCGCTTTCTCTTTGGATTGGCATCGCCCCCCACTCTGGATGTCGAGGGTAAATGGGGGAGGTTTAGGACTGTGACTCATGCAGCTGCAATGGCTGCTTTGGGTACGCGGTCCAGACCTCTCCAGAGACCCTGGCTGACAGAGGAGGTGTTCAGGATGATTGAGAAAAAGCGACAGGCGCACTCCCATCCAAAAAAGTAGTTTGCAGCTTCACACCTATAACCATCGTTAGGGGAAAGAATGGTGATCCAAAATCTGACCCGCAGGAATAGGTTTGAAGATTTTCTGAGCATTTCTGTGAGGTCTTGGGGGAGGGGAAATCCCTTAGACAGGACATCATCATGGGGGCAAAGTAGGGATGACCCTGCTGAGGCTGCGGTGCCTCAAATATTAGAAGAAGTAGTCACCCCTTTGAGTGGCTGGCTGAGGTGCCATCAGTTGAGGAAGTACGGAAGGAAATCCAGAGTTTGATATCAGGAAAAGTGCCGGGCAGAGATTATCTCCCAAATGAAATGCTGAGGGCGGGTGGCGTATCTGTGAAAACTGTACTATATGACATAAAAGAATGGGTTCCACAGGAATGGAAGGATGCCCTGGTCGTCCTCCTCTTTAAGAAGGGGGACCGTACAGACTTTAACAACTGCAGGGGCATCTCCCTCCTCAGTGTACCGGGAAAGGTCCTGGCAAGGATTATTCAACATCACCTTGCCAGGCACGCTGAGGAGAGGCTTACGGAGCCCCAATGTGGTTTCAAGAAAGGGCGGTCCTGTACAGATGCCATAATTTCTGTCCGTCTGCTATATCAGAGATGTAGAGAATTCCAACAAGACTTACATCTCTGCTTTATGACCTGGTCAAGGCCTAATGATACCATCAGTAGGCCTGGGCTCTGGGTTGTTCTTCATGCTTTCGGAGTCCCTGACTCTGTGTTTACAATAATTAAGGGCCTTCATGATGGTGGGCAGGCCCAGGTAAAGCTACATGGCCAGGAGTCGGAGCCATTCCCTATTCACCTTGGGGTGCGACGGGGATATCCTCTGGCACCTACATTATTTTACATATTTTTCAACCACGTAATTCTAGAAGCTTTCCATGGCTGTACCAGAGGAATTTCCATCTGGTACAGATACAATGGGAAGCTGATGGATGCTCGGTTGCCCTTCCCTATGGAAGAGATATGTGGATGACACTTTCGTCATTTGGCCACATGGCCTCCCAGCATTGAACCATTTCCTAGACCACATTAATTCCAGACACCCATCCATCAAATTCACCATGGAAGTGGAGAAAGATGGAAAGCTGCCATTCTTGGATGTCCTGTTTGAGAGGAGGACCGATGGCTCTTTGGGACATTCTGTTTACAGGAAGTCCACCCACACAGACTCCTACTTGAAGCCTGATTCCCACCACCACCCGACTCAAAATAATTCTCTCATCAAACATTATATCATAGGGCTCATTGCATTTCTGACCAACACCACCTGGCCAGTGAATTAAAACATGTACATCTGGCCCTCAAGATGAACGGATACTCTGACCGTACTATCTGCCAAGCTGTTTCTCCCACCATACAGAAACAACCACCTGATACTCCGATCAAAATCCTCATGTTACCATACATAGCAGGCGTTACTAAAAAGATTTCCAAAATTCTAAACAAACACAAGATCCAGGTCCGGTTCAATACAGTACACAAAATCTGTGATCTGATCCCATCCGTAAAGGATGTCATTCCTGACTTACAGTACCCCGGTGTTTACAAATTGAGATGTACCTGCGGTGACTGCTATATCGGGGAGATGAAACGACATATTTCTGACCAAATCCGCGAGCACAAATCAGATTTGAAACACGGCAGAACGAATTCTTCGGCCGTGGCTGATCATTGTTTCAACACAGCGGGTTCTCATGACATTGTTTTCTCTGATACCAAAGTTCTCTGCAAACCTCCCGGTTATTACCAAAGATTTTTCCATGAAGCCATCCAGATATACAAACATAGACACAACTTCAACCGAGAGGACGGTTTCAAATTGAGCAACCATTGGAAAGATGTTATAAATCAAGTCAAACGTTAGCTGCCTCTTAATTGTACAGCCATTTCCATCTCTAAGTGGGTTGGATGTCAAACGTTAGCTGCCTTATAATTGTACAGCCATTTCCATTGCTTTCTAAAAAAATGGAGCTGTACTCGCTTTCGCGCAGTGCACCACCCCTCCCCCCGAACCCCCTGCAGTTTAATAAAAGGCGGCTTAACTCAGCCCTCCCACCCACCCACGTCCCTTTCTTGCTCCCCCCCTTCACCCCTTCACCCCTTAACCTATATATATAAATCCCGGTCGTCTCAGAGCTGTCCACTTGACACAGATATTCTGCTGTGACTATTCCACCTGAAGACGGAAGCTTGTGTTGCCTCCGAAACGTCGTGATTTAATTTAGTTATTTTATTTTACCTACGTGACTTTACCGAAAAAACCAAAGAGTATGAATCCTTGCAGTCACGAAAGCTTCAAATCTAGGAAGAAAAAAAAACTTTGAATCGTTCCCAGAGAAATATTCCAAATACCTTAAATTTCGATTTAAAGCTTTCGTGACTGCAGGGATTCATATTTTTGGTTATTTCGGTAAAGTCACGTAGAATGGAAATAATAAGTAATAAATAATTGGTTTATTTGTATTATTTTATTATTTCCCTTCTACGTGACTTTACCGAAAGAACCAAGATATGAATTCCAAATATCTGTTCGCCTTTTGGCGTCCTCTAGTTTGACACTGGTGAGACCAGGCCCTAACGAAGGCTGTCTCTGGTGTAGGCCAATCAGTTTCAAAGACAATGCCATATATTGTCAGAGCGTGTTTTTGTTTGCATGTTCAACACAAGTACGCGTGGTGAATGCAAACAGGATTCCTTGCAAAATACCTTGGATGGTTTACAAATGCATGTACGTGTGTGAATGTTTAAATAGTTTAGCACCGTACGTAACCAGCCGCGCTAACCGAAGGTGTGAACGCCCGAACCTGGGAGTCAGCAGCTCATGAAGGTGACAATGATGATGATGGCGATGATGTCTTTCTTTATTTTTAGGATTTTTGAGTTTGACTTTGAACCACATTCTCGGCGTTCCTGTCTACATTCTCAGCGGCGTTTGAATTAAAATTTATTCGGAAATGCGTCTGAACCCAATCGGATCTCGTACGCCAGGCCACGCTCTAGGCTAGATTTGACAGGATGTTGGCTACATCGCCCGGTATGCAGGAGGTCGTGGGTTCGATTCCCACCCTGACGGTGCCTGCTGTATATGTAGAGTCTGCATCTCTCTCTCTCTCCCCGTGCGTGTGTCTCCATGTGTCTTTGTGTGCGCCTGTGTGTCTGTGTAGTGTCGTGGTCAGCGCTACGCTGCGCTACCAACCTGGCGGCCCGGGTTTGATTCCCGCTCACAGCCAACACCAGCAACAATTATCTGAACCAGTTCTGGGCCTCCACCAGGTTGACTCAGCCTCAAATTAGTACCTGGTGCGGTGTGTAAACATTGCCACTGGGGAGACAAAGGCGGCCGGGCGTGGTGCTGGCCACCCACTCCCTCGTGTGCCACAGTGCCGACCTTCATAGGTGCTCGCTAACAGCACTTGCCCCTACAGTCTGTTAAGGCTACACGGGGGTTCGTTGTCTTTGTCTGGGGTGTCATGGTCACGACATGTTAACTACCTCGCCCGGTAAGCAGGAAGTCATGGGTTCGATCCCAGACCCTGCGAGATGTTAACTACCTCGCCCGGTATGCAGGAACCCATGGGTTCGATCCCAGACCCTGCGAGATGTTAACT